ATATAGGTCGTGTTCTGCTCCCTGGATGGGAACCTCGGGAACAGCGTAATCGTTGGTTGGGGACACTGAGAGATATGGCCGAGTGTCGCAAACAGTAGTGCTCGCACATCTCAATCTGCTTACAACCTTAAACAACCAGAATTCTTTATTTTCACTTTGATACGGCTTTCAACAATCGTATCTTCCCTCTACTCTTTCGTTCAAATGGGCAGCAATGAGACAGCAACCAAGGCTGCCATACGAAGGTTGGTTGTAAAAATGAAAACTGAACTACATAATAAATCATCAAAACTTTGCGTTTTTGTCGGCTTTTTTGAGTCGGTAGCATACAGCACTAAAAATTCACAAAAAACCATTCTATATCCTTACTTAGATACATCCGATAACTCAAAGCTGAATGTGTTTTCCAGTTTTTATCCAAAACTACAGTAACTGGAAAAAACGCTTTTGGAAAACAGTGAATTTGTCCACTTGGAAGGAACTTTCCCTTAAAATTGGTCAGATTGCATGATTATTAGCGTTTTTGTCCCTCCACATGGTCGCCAGAATGTCGATCTTTTACTCTGGTCTATTAAGCAATACATAAGAACAATAGTTTCGTGTTCTAGCATGCGGATTTGTTCGGGCCTATTCACTATTTAGTCGATTTACGTCCTAAACAGACTGGTTCCTTATGTGGATGCATCCATTTTAGGGTTGATGATTCATTCTCTGTCCGATTTGACTTGATCTTGGGCAGTTGTTGGCATTAGTGTGCATTTTGTTTCACTTATCTGCCTCCGGGTGGTTTGGTTGCACGTAGATCCGAAGCCAAAAGCACATATTCAGTGATGCTGAACAAAAACGCTTGCAGTTCAATATGAATTTCAACATCTGCCTCCATTCGCCCCCCCCCCACTTTACGAACAGTTATAATTTCTTCGTTTCCAATCTTTCTTATTACCCACATTTGTATGATGAACAGAAGAGGGGAAATTAAGCCCCGGGACTTGGAGTGACGAATCACACAATACCACGGTAGGTTCAGCGTGATACTGAACCAAAAGACAGCAAAAGCTGCCTGCCACCAAAGTTGGGTGGCGATGATGAGGTTCGAACCTTGGATCATACGGTCCAAAGCACATCGGCGACAGAGACCAAACCACTGCACCACCACAACCACCGCCCTAATTTCCTTTCCGTCCTAACCTCTACCCATGCTTAGGTGATATGATCGACGTGTTTTTCATAGGGGTTTTTCACAATGTTTTCCTCATCTTTTGGTGCTCTCTGTGTTGCTGTCAATGTACCGTACACACTCTGCCATCACACACTTGTGTTCGATTGCTCCGTACACGTATGGTCAACCTGTCTTACGTTTTGGTCCTTGCGTGATTCATCTCGGCCGTAAATTTCTCGCCTCCGTTCCGTCTAAACGGCCGCTTTTTTTCCGAACGTCTGTGTGTACGTATGCAGGTGCATTCGGTTGCCTTGTCACCGGTTTTGCTGCCTTACTCGCCCCTCGTTCGTGTGGCGAAAATAGCGTCAGATCTCAGAATAGAACTAGCTGACACATCAATCCTAAAATGGATCAGCGACACGGGGTTTGTGTTCCCCATTCGGATGAGGCTTGTAGACACCCCTTTGCATGCATGTGCATTAGTGCGTACACTGTTGGTCCTTCTGTATGCATACACAAATCGGTGACTTGTATAATCTCCCGATTGAGAATTTGTCCTTGTCCTAGTTTAGCTTTTAAGCTCGGATACAATTTGACATAGAGAAAGCGGTTGGCTGCATGCTGTTTTGCAAAATAGGGCGCTACTAGCATCTAGGATAAAAAAGAACTCAACTTCAAGGAAAACACAAAGATGATCGTCGTTTTATTGAACGTTCGGAGCTGTGATAAATCCGAAGTCATGTTCCTCCGAAAATGTAAGCCCTACCCGGTTGATAAACACATCACTGAAGGATAATTCCTGGTAGTTGTATTGCCAATGCTCCATAAGCAGGATATTAAAACAAAGTTTTCACTTAAGCAATGCTCCGCTACTTCACACAATGGGATCAATGATCCTACAGGATATAAGTCTGCAAGAAATTCAATCTGCATTTCATAGTTTGATAAATTGCGTTAAACGTACCAGAAATGGGTCAAATAATTGTATTTTAGTGATACAATTAGGAAATAAAATTTTAATTATCAGAACTTTTTAATTAAAGTAATTCCTTGTGCGATGGAAATCTGTGTGAAGAACGATTACAAGCACTAGACAACATTTTAATCTTGTTTGGGACTCCTTAGTGGGGCGTAGTTTTTTGTTTTCCTGCCGCGAACTTTCGGGTCGGAAGTCAAGACTGCTACCCTTGCGCTGGATGGTCGACGGTTAACGTCTGACAAACGGCCTCATCCACTTAGGAGAGGAATGTTTGAATTAACCCATTAGGGTTTTCCAAGGCATTAGGTCCACGGAGAGTTCCGTCGCATACAAGTGCATTTCATTGGGGATGAATTAACGATTACCCAAGAAGTAAAATCCAAACACAAGACCGTCAACCGTGCGGTGTCTAGTTTTGGGGTAAGAGTTTGGAATCGCAGCCCGAGAGTTCGCGGTTCGAGTCCCGGTAGGGATACAAAAACTTTGCATTTAGCTGCTGATTATTGAATAATCTTCCTTGAGTTGAAACCTCCTCCCGAAATCGCAAGTAGTTTGTGGTTCCTGTGAAAAACCACACGGGCTAATCAGACGGTTTCCCTTTACACTGATTTTCTTTTAAACGAGCACATCGAGCTGTATTTTGTCTTTTTATGTTTCTTTTCCTGCAATGATATAAGGAATCCCGGAGAATAAATTTATATACAGCTGGGTTTCGTTTGTGCATAAACATATGATATGCCTTCTGAAAATCTTCACACGCATTTCAAAACAACTTGAACTTGATCCTGGGTGTCCATTTGGTACAGTCCTAATGATATGTTAAGAAAATTTTTAAATGAAATTGATTCTTAAACACTAAATATAACAATCAATATTCAGAAAGTAGACCGCAGTCAACCACGGGCCATTAGTGGAAAAGTGGAAGGTTGGGACGACACTAGGGAAATGTTAATGTGAATTAGGGAACAAATGTCTGCGATCGACCTTTCACCTTTACGAATAAAATTATTTCAGTTATTTCATCCCTCAATTTTTGACAATACCCTTTGTGAGTGTTACTCGTGCAATCCGAACATTCAATGTGGTATACCGTTTAAATTACTTTCACTTAGGTAGCGTGGTAATAACGCCCATCGACGAATCATAGAGTATTTTTTTGTGATAAAGATGCTTGTGTCATAATTTTCGACGCACAGCGTGGAGCCAGACAAAGGTGCAACATTAATTCTTATACCGGTCGGGTCTACACAAAATAAACCTGTGTAAAATATTCTAGCGTCTACACTTATCGTGATAATACCTTGGAGAATCAAACTCTGGTTGACCCTGACGGGACACGATTAGTGTGCCTTGATTTTATTCTGCTGTTATTATTTAATCAGTTGGTTTAAATGTGCATCCGTTCATTCCCTTTTTTAGGGGCTTCTATAAAGCTCTTTGTGCTTAGGGTTACAAAATTACATCTCTAGCGTTCCTTTAATAGATGCAGTAACGCGGTCTAATCATAATAAGGAGCTACTATGGACATTTGGCGGAACCTTGATAATGTCGCAAATATCTAAGAAGCTCATTCTTGCTTAAAGTTTTTTCAGCTAACGGATTTATTTTTCAAGTAAATAATAATCGCTTATCCCTTCCCGTATCGCGGCCCATAGCAAGCGCCTCACCTAATGATATGCAATCTTCCCAATGTCGACACCTCGTCCTAGAGGTTTGATCACAAATAGAGTATTCGAAACAGACCAAATAAAGTACAATAGCTGTAACGTTTTACGAATCAAGCAAACGAGAGCAGAATGAAGAAGACTCGAGATCGGAATTATACGCTTTACTCAGCTAATAAATCCGGTACATGAGTTGTAATAGAAAAAAGATGTTTATTTATTACGCGATAGAAAAGGGTGTATGAATAAGAGAACGAAAATATAACACTAGCAATGACTCGTCGGTCGGTACGGTCGTAGAACAGAGCGAATCAGGATTGTAATGTGATTTGCGGAATAAATGTGTCCGTGCACATAGATAAACATTAAGCGGAGACCTGCTGAAAGAATGTGAATAGATACACCATAAATCAACCTTGAATCCATGAATCAATTATGATGTTGACGACACATCGTCGCTCAAATTCTGAACAGTGGGCTTATTTTCCCTTACTTTGGCATAGCTTTTCGCTGATTGTTTTTGAGCTCACAAGCACCAGCATATGGTTCTTATCACTGAAATGCTTTGCGTCCCGTTCTGTATTGGTCTGGAAACCACTCCGCAGTTGGTCTTGCCAAACCGTCAAAGATTGAGATTGGGGATAGTTTCGTCAAAAGGCATTATTTACTTCGGTAGACGAACCAATAGTCGAATTCCATATAGATTGCTCGTAAGCAATCAGTATTGTCGAAAATATCTGACAAGGCGGTTCACTAGCTAATCGCAGCAGAACTTTCATACAACATAATCTGGTCCTGCGTAACACTTCAATATCAGATGCGATGGTACACATACATATATATCCTTCAGTTATCCGCTCCCCAACTTTCGCATCTTCGCCGCCTTTTTGGTCCTATGTTCCTTCTTGTTTACGCCCGATTGCTGGAGCACCTGCTTTCAGTTCGCCCAATCTCATTTTTTGTGCATCTTAACAGATGTTTCGAAGCAATACGAGTTGATCCTATCTTGATTTATTCGGTCTCCCAACTGCCGACAAATTTCTTTTGCTAACTTTGAGTTTCTTTTCACTGACAAACGAAACAAAATTTTAGCTGCTCGATGATGAGATCCAAGTAAAAAAAGGCTTTTGGTAGCCCGTATAAATGAAATCAGTATCCGTTCATAGATCAATTTCCTCTGGGGTATTTCCTTTTCCAGGTGGTTTCGTCGGGTTCCAGGATGAATGCTCACACTTGTGTTGGATCGGTCAGGATCGCGCTTCATACGAGGACACTTCTTCTCAGTCAGATCCGACCACGTGCGAATTGGAACGCTTGTTAGATGAATGCTTGCGCGAGGCCGCCGGTTGTCCTTCCTCGACAATTCAATCGCAAATCGAGGCCAGTGGTTTGTCACTGCGTCCGGGTGCCGGTTTACACTCGGAGCTCGAGAGGTCAGTTGTGAATGTTAGCGACTCTTCTCTTTTTTCATGAGTAATGAAGGATTTGGTTAAATTTCAAATGGGAATTCGTCGTGTATATAGCAAATGAAGCGTGAACTGAAAAGCTCGGAAGCACTGAACAGCTGTTCTTCTCTTTTCGGTTTGACTTTTTGCAATCTTATTGGTTCGCTTGGTTTTTAAATTACTCGGATTTTCGGGTTCCTTGATTTTTCGACCAGAAAGTATTTAACTGTAACAGAACGACTGATTGTCTCTCATAATAAAAGGCGCTGGCAGTTATTAGTCATCGCAACGTGCATTCGCTCTTTTTTATTGCAACTTTAGTTTAATTGAGTCCTTCTTACATCTTGATACTGTTCCCATCCCGCTACTTCTTCTATCTGCCCAGTTTTCATTATTCGATCGATTGGGCAGCCGAAAGACGGCAACTAAAACTGACACACAAAAGTGCCATGTCGATTGTTGTTCAAGCGAAAACCAAATGCTAACGTAGAAGTTACCGTTAATATTTGTTGACGGTGCCTCCCAATCCTTTTTTGGATGGCGGGAGATAGATCGCTTGAAAAACGCGCAGTTTGCGACTATAGATACAGATTGCCTGAGCCTTTTAGTGCTCCTGTGACGCTTATCGCATACGTTGCACGACTAGGAGTTTATCCGAACACGTTAAAGAACAACATCTCAGATTACTTGTTCAGGGTGAAACGGACACCGTACTCAGTTTCATTAGAACTTATCTAAGGAACAACAGTTATAGGACCGGCCCTGAGACTGCTTTCAAGGGGTTGCAAACCGAGTCCCTTCTAATCGATCAACCCAGAATCTATCCACGACAGATACCTTCAGTAGCTGACCCTTTCCCCCTCGTCAATATGCGCAAAAATATCTACTTCAAGTTTAGATGTCTGGGCCTCGTGTAAATAGAACGAAAGGTCGAGTGAACCCACAGGGTCTTACATCAATAAATAGGTAATGTGGTGTCATTTGACCCGTCCTTCCTATGATCATTACCCATCCATCCTCCCACGCGGAATTATGTGATCTTTTCGGTGTGACAATCCTCTCCTTC